AGCATAATACTCTCCAGGTCCCTCCATGTCGTCTCAAAGGATAAGAGATCTTTCTTTCTTACAGCTGCATAGTATTCTATATCCTTTTAATAATGCTGGAGGCACTGTTACCTTTTAGAGGAAGAAATAATTTGTGAACCAATAATGGTTGGGCTGACGCTACTACAGATTTCTCTACTATCTCAAAAGTGGTTTTTTTTTTAAATGCGATCTCCCTACTTATTGCTATAGTAAAAAACATGCGAACGGACAAAAACAAACAAAAAATTTAAAGTGATTCCATTTGTTCGTTGCCGAAAGTTTGGTGGAGGCCAACTGTGCACCAGACTCCACTCTAGGTTCCTGGAAAGCTAGGGAGACATGTAAGGTCCGGTCTCCATCCGTGAGGAGCAGGGAGAGAGAGAGAGCTCGTGATGAGTACACTTTGGGAAGGAGGACCAGGGTGACAGCAGCCTCAACGGCAATGAACTCCATCTGGAAAAATCTCCAAGAATGAGGCCCAGCAACTTGAGTTTTTATAGTCCCTCCAGATGCTTCTGAGACCCGAAGGCCCTTAGGTTCTCAATTTTTAGAGAGCATCAGAGATGCCTGAAAAGCTTGTTAAAACCCATTGCGGCACCTCACCGGCCCCACCCCCTCACTGCTGATTCAGAGGTGGGGCTCAAAAATGTGCATTTCTACCATTTCCCAGGTGATGCTGCTGTCCTAGAAACGACACTTTGAGAACCACTGTCTCAAGTCGTCCATTGCATGTGATCCATTAACTTCTCTCCCTAGCTATGTGCTGTCCTTGGAGAAATTCAGAAAATGGTGATGCAAAACATTTCTGCTGTGTGGCTCAGAAGGCAAGCTCCTGATAAGAAAGGCTGGAAACAAAGTATTATTTGTGAAAGCAGGAACGCTGTGCGATAGTAAATGTGTGACTGACCAGGCTGGCTATGGCAACGGCCACAACTGTTTACGAAAATGCAGAGTGAAGTTTAACGTGTGGGGAAGTAGGGATTTGCGCAGCTCTATTTACATATTGCGATAGCCAAAATTATTTTCTTACTCCATCAAATTGGTAAATCGCATGGGGTCCTGCTCCTTGGAGTTTCAGGCCTAAGATCATGGAGAATAAAATACTTACTTGGTGTCAGTTTCACCTGGCTTCTTACAAGCAAATTCAGATTTTCTTTTGATTTCTTAGGCATAAGAAAGCATTGGCTTGATATGAACCTAAGATTTCCTTCACAATCCACATGTCACTTTCTGAAACTGGGAAATGCACGACGTAGACTAGTAATTTATATTCAAAGCTCAAAGCTTTAAAATCTATTGCTTGAGGTTCAGTCATTCAGAAAGTTCATAGAAAGGTAATTATGCAACCTACCATTCACCCATCTATCCATCCAATGAAAAAGAAAATTTGACTTAAGTAAATGTTAAACCCAATGAGTGAAGATAGACCTAAAATAGTGAATTCATTATGACTCTGATAAATTCTATTTAAAAAGACACACAATTTGGACAAGAGAACCTAACTTTGTCTGTAGACTAGAGTTGGAAGTCAGTGGAGTTTTCGTTGAAGAAAAGACATTGAAGCCTATATCTGAGGGATGCGCAGGCAGAAAGCAGAGGAGAGTCACATCTAACAGTCGAGAAGGACAGCTTAAGCCTAGGATGTCAGGCAGAAGACAGGCTAGGAAGAGGAGCCACGTCAGAGATAATGATGTCGGGGATAATGATGTCGGAGGTCTGTAAATCCAGTTACTCAGGCCATATGGAAAGGAAGTCAACAGGCCTCTGACATGATCAGATTTGCATTTTTAAAGAATCTCTGGTGGCATCTCTATGCAAATGCACCGGAGTGAGGGGCTGCCTTCAGAGCAGACATAAAATAATACTTTAAAATCCCCATCCTTATTCAGTTCCTAAAAAAGAAAGAAACATTATGGGTTTTACTGTTTCATGACAACACATACTATGGTTATAGTTTTACCCCTTCCAATGTGCATTACTTGGTACTGCACTTAAGAAAAAATATTCTTCCTTTAGGCAAAGTCAACGTGTACAAAGAAGATACAGATGAGAGAAGTGAACAGCCCAATCTTTATGTTATGAGCTAAATTGTATCCCCTGCTCAAATTCACTTGATGAAGTCCTAACCCTTAGTGTCTCAGAATGTGACTGTATTTGGAGACAGGGCTTCTAAAGGTGTCATTAAATTAACATGAGGTCAGATGGGTGGGTCCTAATCCAATCTCCATAGAAGAGGAAGTTAGGACTCATACAAAAGCAAAGGCCAAGTGAAGATGCAGGGGGAAGAAGGCCACCACCAGACCCGGACAGGAAGCCAAACCCACTGACATCGTGACCTTGGAGCTCTGGCATCTAGGATTATGGGAGAACAGTTCTGTTGTGTAAGCCTCCCAGTCTGTTGTGGCAGCCCTGACAAATTAATACAGTAGATTAAAAAAAAATCCTTTGTTAAAAAAAATTACCATAGATTTTCTTAGAAAATGAATTGTGTTGATTTGAAAGATGTTGGTTCATTTCTCAGCAGGAGTGAAAATCAGAAGAAACTAATTTGCTCAGGCAGTGGTTCTCAACCTCCCTAATGCCGCGACCCTTTACTACAGTTCTTCATGTTGTGGTGACCCCCAACCATAAATTATTTTCGTTGCTACTTCGTAACTGTAATTTTGCTACTGTTATGTCTTAGGCGAACCCTGTGAAAGGGTCGTTCGGCCCCCAGAGGGGTCGGGTCCCACAGGTTGAGAACCACGAGTCTTTGGGGGGTGAGAAGTGGAGAAAAAACCAAGGGAATGTACACGCTGTGTGAAGCGTAACAGTGACTCCAGTGAGCTCCCACACTGGTCAGACTTCCAACTGCAGGTTGTATACCGTCCAAGAATGACTACATTGGCACACTTCAGACACTCAGGGGGTGTGAGTGGCTCTGCCTTAACCATGAAAATCAACAGTTCACAGTGTTCTAAAAACTTCAATGCATCAGGCGTACATTCAAGTCAGGAGACTTTCTTCATTTTGCTCATTTCTCTTCAAATCATCAAACATGTATCTTGCATATATCCACTAGTCTACTGGTCTACTACATGTAGAACATTGTGGGGAATATAAAGAATTTAAAGATGTGGTCTATGACCTCTAAAAAGTCAAGTGAGAAATCTGTTAACATTTACCTTACATTTGTTATCATTCTTTTAAAAAAATTATTGTTAACATTATTACTGATATCTCCCATTTTTCCCCCTTTTGCCCCCCTCCACCCAGCCCCTGCCCTACCCCAGGCCTTCATCATACTATTGTCTTCGTCCATGGGCTATGCATATATGAATACGCACTCTTTGGTTAATCTCATTCCAAGATCTGTTGCATGTGTCCATGGCTCTGGACCTATTTTGTTCATCAGTTTATTTTTTCATTAGATTCCACATATAAGTAGGATCATGTGATACTTGTATTTCTCTGACTGACTTATTTGCTTAGCATAGTATTCTCCGGGACCCTCCATGCTGTCTCAATGTGTAAAAGATTCTTCTATTTTACAGTTGTATAATATTCCATTGAATAAATATACGACAACTTTTTTATCTACTCATCTACTGATGGGTACTTGGGCTGTTTCAAGATCTTAGCTATTGTAAATAATGCTGCTATGAACATAGGTGGAGATATTTTTTCTGATTGGTATTTCAGGATTCTTAGTATATATTCCCAGAAGTGGGACAGCTGGGTTGAACGGCAATTCCATTTTTAACTTTTTGGGGAATCTCCATAGTGTTTTCCATGGAGGCTGCACCAGTCTGTATTCTCATCAGCAGTGTTCTAGGGTTCCCTTTTCTCCATATCCTTCCAAACACTTGTTTGGCGAACATATATTGCCAATGATACATCAGATAAGGGGTTAATTTCGAAAATATAAAAAGAACTCATACAACTCAACACCAGGAACAAAAACATTCCAATTAAAAAATGGGCAAAGGACCTGAAGAGATCGTTCTCCAAAACGGACATGCAAATGGCCAAGAGACAAATGAAAAAATGCTGAATGTCACTAATCATCAGAGAGATGCAAATTAAAACTACAATTTGCTGTCTTTCAAAGTGGGTTCACAGGAGTTGATTTGGAATGGTTTGTCAAGCCGACACACCTGTCTACAATGGCCTGACTTCCAGATGACACACATCCATCCATTCATCCATGTGAAGTCAGCTGGAGACACGCACACCCCACGCCACGGAGACACAGCTTTCACTTGTCTTGTTGGTGGTTGAGCAGTTTCTTTTTCTCTGTGCTTTCTTTAGCTTTGTTTTTCACAGCAGGTGCAACCATTTTAACTCTGTTCCTGGCTGAGACCGTCTTTTAGAAACATTCCCGTAAAGTTAAAGAGTTAAAGTAAAAACTAGTCTTCCCTTTCCGACAATGAAAAAAAGTGCAATCTGCTCCCCCCCCCCCCCCCCCCCAGTTGTGTAAAACATCAGAAACACACAGCCAGGGCCTCTTAAAGGCAAATGCCCCCTGACCTCCTCGTATAGTTTTGTGTTCCTTGGGACTTCTCACCAACTCTTGTGTCTCTGTATCTTTCTTCTCTCTTCTGCTGACTGAGAAATTCTATCATCTCATTCTTTGGAAATCAATGCAAAACCATCTGGTTGCTTTGTTCACCACCTGGGCTCTTTAGCTTTGGGGTGCTGGGCATTTATTATCCCTAGCAGAAATTGGCAGCATCTGATTTTGTTGATCTATAGGCATAGCGAAGACTGGGAACTCAGTATGCATAATTATGACTCCAGACACAGAGAAACACTCCATGTACAGCACAACATATTTACAATTACACTGGGATTCTTTGGCTTGAAGCAAAGATACATAGAATAAGTTTGATTAACTACTTTTAAAACATTCTATTGCTTTGGGCCCTAGTGCTAGAGAGGACTGGAATCGAAAGGAAATGCTGAGGACAGATAAGTGATACATAAAGCGAGTGTTTTACCTGGCAAAGCCAACGCCTCTGCTGACTCCGTTAGCATCTCGTAGTATTCTTGTGGAAATGACATGTCCAAAGGGTTTCAGCATATTCTCAAGTTCCTGCTCATCCATAGAAATGGGGAGATTTGAGATGTATAGATTTGTTGGGTCTTGCTCTTGTTGCTAAGGAAAGGAGAGAAACAAATGTAGTAAGTTCTACACATTGAGGAACTTACTGGCCAAATGGATATTCTTTGGATGAAACTACAGTCCAGATGCCACATCAACATGGTCTTGAAAGTTCTTTCACTAAGGGCACTGCTTCTTTTCAATGAATTCCCTTCTTGCTACAATGTTTCTTCTAGGAACAATATCATCAGTGAAAACCAACCTTTTTGTCCAGCTCTCCTGAGAAAAGACTAATAAACTTTTATTGCAATTGAAGTAAGGTAAATACATATATTCTTTTTATTACCACTGATGACTACCTCTACTGTTAACACTCAACTACCACCACCTCTCGTTACTAATGTTGCATTTACTGAGTGCTCATAACATGCTAGGCATTGTTTTAAACATTTAATATGCATTATTTCATTCAATATTGTCAATAGATATAATTGTTACTATTTTACACATGACAAAATTGATCCCTACCTTATCCAAGTTTTACAGCTCATAAGTGTCAAAGCCAGGGCTGAAATCTGGGGGTATGGCCAAAGTTTGTGAGCTTCATGTCTTGCTATACAGCTTTGCTCCAGACCAATGGGAAAAAAAAATAGTCCTAGAACAGCATCACTAGCCTCATCAATGCAGAACTTTCCAGAAATGCAAATTCCCAGGCCTCACCCAGACCTACTGAATCAGAGACATGAGGGTGGGCCAAGTAATCTGTAGTTTGAAAAGCCTTCTAGGTGATTTTGATGACTGCTTAAGTTTGGGAATTGCTGCCCTAGACCATCCATGAATATTTACATGCAAATGACCTGTGATACCTATCATTTTCTAATCCAGGAGCAAAAACTTATAGGAGCATTCTATAAGTTTTGCTTATAGAAAGAGAAACCAAGCAACAACTGCTAGCATTATTTCTATGTGCACGAATCTTCTCTATTTCACATAATGAATTAATAAATTGGACCTTAGTTGTATATATGACTCAAAATAAAATAAAGCCGTTAACCTGTATAATTAGTTATTAATATAAAAAGGTATCATATATTTAATTGAACCATTATATTTTAACCAAAACAACCTTAACTTCAAGAATAAGCACAATTAAATTGGAAAGAAAAAGAAATCCTGAAATCTATATAGGAAATGACATTATGTAATAGTAAAATATCTTTTGTGAAGCCATGGACATGGTGTCATATATTGCAGGAAATTTGATGTTTTAATCAAAATGAAGAAAACACAATAAGCAAGATTTCAAATATTACTTCAGGTCAAGAAATGACTTTGGTATGAAACTAATCTTCATTCTTTTTAGAACAGCTCTAAATATTCAGATAGGCCATTAAATTTCTATTAAACTTTAAGATATAAGATCTATTATTAGGTTCATTTTTTTTAAACAAAGCTGAGTTTTCAAACTTTTTTTTAGTACCAAGGAAAACAATAAAAATAAACATATAATCAATCAGAAAAGACAACACAGCTTCGCTATTTAGTAATAGTGTCAACATACCCACTGTAGTCTCTACACACACACACACACACACACACAAAGATACACACACACACCCCACTAATAAGTGGTATGATCATAGAAAAAATAAAAACAGAGATAATATTATGCTTTCCTAAATGATTATAATTTTTTTTCTGGGATGGTAAAAAAGAAAAAGGAAAGGTGGTGTTTCAGATACATAATAATGAAACTTATGCACATACAACTTTCAAATTTCACTACCCATCATTTAATTTTTAAAAAAAATGATTTCATGTTTTTTTAGAGAGAAATAGAAGCATCTATGTGAAAGAGAAACATTGTTTGGCCACCTCCTGTACGCCCACTACCGGGGATGAAGCCCATAGCCTGGGCATGCGTCCTCACCAGGAATGGAACTGGCACCTCTCAGTCCAGGGGATGATGTTCAACCCACTGGGCCACACCGGCCGGGCCCCATCATTTAATTTTAATCTTCACATCATTACTACAAAGGTAGCTGAGCAAACATCATTATATTTATTGGGTAATGAGGTCATGGAAGCATGAAAGATTCATCATCTTGTCCAAAGACAATCCAATGATTAGTGACAGAGTTAGAATTAGATTTAGTGACCAAGTCTCGTATTGGCCAGCCACTCAGCGTACTTTCCACTAGCCCAATGCTTTCTAAGTTTCATTCATTTGCATATTATTTGAGAAAAATTTGCCAACCATGTAATATTATTTTATTTACATAAAAGGTATTTTTTTAAATCAATATACCTTTGGGCATTAATAGATTTATTTCAAAATATAACTTTATGTTGGTATAACTAAAAAACCACTATCACTTGGCATATATAGGTTACTCTAAAAATAGGGAACAAAGCAATGTTACTAAATCATATCAACACTATTTGTTTGCAGAAGGCTTTGACCCCAGTAGTTGACTCTCCCTTAATTACAAATGAGGTTTGTGCCCTGGCCGGTTTGGCTCAGCGGTTGGAGCATCGGCCTGCGGTCCTAAGAGACCCGGGTTCGGTTCCCGCTAAGGGCGCGTACCTCGGTTGCAGTTTGTCCCCGGCCCTTATCGGTTGTGTGGGTGGCAGCCACTAGATGTGTAACTTTTGCGTCGATGTTTCTCTCTCTCTCTCTGTTCCTCTCTCTCCCTCCCACTCTATCTGAACAACAACAAAAAAAAAAAAAAAAAAGGAAAAAAAACAAAAAAAACAAATGAGGTTTGTAATTAAAAGAGGGTGAGAAGCAGCCCTGGCCAGTTTGGCTTAGTGGTTAGAGGGTCATCAGCAGACCAAAGGGTCTGGGGTTCGATTTCCAGTCAAGGGCACTGTCTGGGTTGCAGGTTCGATTCCTGACCAGAATCGATGCCTCTCTCACATCGATGTTTCTCTCTCTCACTCTCTCTTTCTCTCCTTTTCTCTCTTCCATTCTATCTAAACATTAATGGAAAAATATCCTCAGGTAAGAATTAACAAAAAGAAAAAGAAAAAAGAAAAAGAAAAAGAGGTGTGAGAAGCACACAAGTACCAGACAGTCTTTTCCCTGGGAAAACAGATTTGAGAAAGAAGCAGGAAAAGAACAGTTTTCTTAAGATGTGATTTTTGGATCCTGCACACCTACAGCAAGTCAAGTTTCATGAGAAATGGATACCTGTCCCTCAGCTTGGGAGTTTCTGCCTTAACCCAGAGCTTCTACAAGAGTAAAGTACAGCATGTGGCAGTCCCATGAGTGGACTGGAATTTGCACAGAATTTTGCACTCGTGTGTCCCTGGTCAGGCTAAATCATCGCAAGCAATCACCCACGAGCACCGTACCGACCTTTTCATTTTCTGTGGGCAGCAGTGCACCGATTTGCCCTGATTAAAATCCATTTCTAAATTCCCTTAGTGTAGAATGCACCGCAGCTTCTCAAAATGGTGGGCAATAAACATGCAGAGCTGAGTACATAAGGGATTGCCCAGTAAGCTGTGTTCGGAATCCAAATTCAAACAGTGAGGCCAACTCATTAATTTGTGTTTAGAGAGACAATAAAGCATTGGACAGCCATTCCTTAATTTGTATTCACAGAAAGAATATGGTGTTGGACAGTGTTATTTATTAAGAAATTCTGTCCTTTGAAATGCAGTCTTCGTCTTGAATATATTTGTTGACTTGACAACAGATTTTAATTTCTGCATAGCATCAACTTTAATATAATACATGCATTTGTAGTTTTACTTCCAATTTTATTCATGTAGCAGGTGTATGTAAATAGATGCTGCCTTAAACGATTCCTTGGTGCTGTGAACCAAAAGACTATTTTCCTCTTTACTTTTCAGAAAAAATTCTCACGTGCTCATTGCAATGTTAAAGAAGTTGCAAAAAAATATTTTTAACTTAAATTATTATGATAATTTAGCTCCAGAATGGATCTAAGAGGGCATTTTGCAATATGATCATTTAATGGATAGAACAAAACAGCACCTAGAGGCGTGGGTAGGACTTACTCAAGTTTGCCCAGCTAATCAGTGACACACTGGAAATAGAACTTATGTCCTTTTATACCTGGTCCAGTGTTCTTACCAATTCATTGCACTTCCTTGCTCTTAAAATCCAATGAATAGCAGACAGCAGTTTGTGATTCAAAGGAATATTAGTACAGACAGAAACAAGTATCTCTGTAGTCCTTGTTTTAGTCACTTTTGCTTATTCATCAATTAGCCTTAGTTACAGAGTGAAGGCTAAGGAAAAATAAAATAAAAAATAAAAAGAGTTTCAAGCCTTAGCCAGCATTTCATAGGTAGTCACTGAATGAATACTTATCAGCGTATTCATACATCTGTTACATTTAACTGACGCCATAAGTAATTCTCCCATTTTGGTCTGTTTCTTCATATTTTATGTGTACTGGAATATCTTGATTTATTATTTAGTTTTGTCAAAAGATGGTGAAAAGGTTAGAAAAGCACCCTCTTCATTGTTAATGAGAACAGAGACAAGGATATGCAATTATTTCCCCCTGAAATGACTTCACTTTTCTTGGATTTTTTGTAAATGCAAAGTGCCAAAATAAGACTTGTTAGCACTCGTGTACTTTTTAGCACTTTAAAACAACTTCAGACATTTCAAGGTAGCTAAGCAGATGGATACAAATGGAGGACAAACAATTGTTGCCCATATCTAGACCAAAGGTTATGTCTGGGGCTATGTTTTTTTGGATATGCCTCATGCTTATTATATGCACATGATTCTAAAAAAGATAGTGAAAAGAACAAGACTTCAAATCAATCTAGTAATACACATGCTTAAGACAACTACATCCAATACTCAGGAAGTGGTTTTTGGCACTAGTGATTGAGAACAATGTTTCTCAAGCTACCTGGGGTGGAGACCCATTGCATGTCCAATCTATCACAGACCAATATTTGTAAAATACAATGAAAAATAAAGTAAAACAAAAAGGTATGCAAAATGCAAGTTGCCACGTTTTATTATTACATCCAATGGACCGAAATTACATTTAGATTAAATG